AAAAGCAAATAAATAAATAAATAAACAGTATTACTAGTTACCTACTTTGCAATGTACAGAAGTCGTGAAGTGTCCACGATTTTTTGTAAGACATATATGCCATGAAAGCAGTAAAATAGTATTTTCATTAAAGGCGATAAATCACACCTACATGTTAAATGCCACTAAAATTTAGCTAACGACATTGTATTTCGGTTCGAATCGAGAGGAGTTTTTAGTAACATCTACTATTTTTCCATCAAAAATCTTTTTATATAAAAGTTGTGCTAATAGACATATGTTAAAATAAATCATTATTTTATCATTGCTACATAAAGAAAATAAATTTTAGCACAGCATAAGCGTGGTCAAATGCGAACATATATTTTATATAAATTATTAAAATGATCAGAACAGGGTTAAAAACAATAAATCATAATTCATAATCCACAGTTTTTTTTCCGCGGGTACTCTAGGAATTAATTTACAATTGCAATACTAATAGTTGCACATTGCTAACCTATTTTTGATTATATCTTTATACTAAATAGGTACTTATCCCATCCTCGTCGCCACTTGTAATGTCTGCTATCTTCTCTAACCACTGTAGTGTAACACAGGCTCGGCACGCACTTTAACTAACAACACGTCCACTCTCGCCCGAGGCTCTCGTGTAACTGACGCGGTGCGCTCGAGACAGTGACTTATATATAAATGTATGTTTGTGTATTTGTGCATGGTAAATTATTAGTAAATAGAACAAATAACAATATTTACTGTATACTACATATAAGCAAACACTACACGGTCCATTTAGGGTTAGTAGTTATTGTTATGAAAAGATCTGGCCTACCATACTTGCGAACATAACAGAATGAGTCTTGAACGCGTTCATTCATATTTCGCGGACTCCCGATAAAGCTGGAAGGCAATATAACTAAACGTCCTAAATTTTCTATGTGTGTATCTCCCTGTACTGCATCATGAAGATCCACATAATTTTCGGCACGCAACTGTCTCTGATGAGTACGAATGAATACTAAACGCTCTGTTTCAACTTTTGCGTACATATCAACAATAAACTGGTTAAATAAGCCACGAAATCGTTGTAAATATACAAAACGACGTTGTCTTATTTGCATGAGATAACAATAAAATTGCAGAGCCGAAACTTTTCTGTCTAACCGAGGTACTCCTGTAGCGGGGTCAACTTGATAAACCGTAAAGTTGTTACCATCTTCACCGCGACAGTAAATAAGTGGGTTATTGTAAGGAGTCGTAAGAACGATGAGTCTCATTAATTCGTTGCAGGCGGTCATCACGCGTACGTACTATAATGTCACGCTTGTCGCATTGCTGATCCACCAGGACAACTGCCACTTCATTGGTGGATGGAGAATTATAACGGCCGGAATGTTGCACTAAAGGTCGCTTATCCGCGCTAATAACAAACTTATAATTATTGTATTCATCTTGAGGGATCGACTCTAGTAGAGCTTTGAAATTGGATATATAAGGGTTGACCTGATGCAGCATGCCCTGAAGCTCTGAGATAACATTAGCGTTTAAATTTGGGAAATTCTGCCTCCTTATATTGGCTTGTTCATGGTAATCAGAAACGAAATATATTTGTAAAAAATTTGGTTCTATCTCAGGTAAAAGCGAACCATTTAAGTGATAGACTTGCCCCTGTACTTTAAAAGTAGGCATAAATGTTCCATATACCACTTGCTTGGCCCCGAAAGAAGTCATCTAGAATGACCCGTTGTATGAACGGATATTGTCTATAAACTGCTTGGAATGTGGATGGTCCCCATTAAGTAGCGATTTAAGAGGTTCTGGGGGCTCTTGAAATATTTCCAATTGTACCTTGCCAGCTGAACAGCAAAACCCGTTTGATTCTTTAGACCACTTAAGTGATTGACAATGACTACAAGTGCGAATCATTCTTCCGATCTCGGCAAATTCACTATAGTTAATATTAAAAGTGTAGGTAAAACCACTATTTTCTTTATCACCCCATGGGAGATCAGTGTAGTTCTCTCTGTCCATAGACGGCGGAGTAAAGGTAAATGCGTCCCGTAGTTTTTGAGTGAATCCGGAATACACAGGCAGACAGACAGACAGACAGACAAAAATTCTAAAAACTACTAATTTGGTTTCAGTACCGCTTGTTTAGTCCCCTGGACTTGTTTTTTTCACAAAATAATAGAATTACAGACACGACTTTTCTACAGATTTATTATTTATATATAGATTTTATATATATGTGTATATTTTATGTATGTGTTGCATGTATATATTTGAACTGAATTATATCATGACAACTTAACTGCTCAAACTCACTCTCTGTTCTACCCAAGGTTAGCTGGTAGAGAATGCCATATAGCATTAAGCTCGCCTTTTGTACAAATATTTGGTACAATAAAGAATAAATAAACAAATAAACAAATATATTTTTTTTTATATAAATTAAACGCGATGTAATCCTTAAAAATAGCTTAGCTGACTTTTTGATGGTAATGATGGTGTTAACGGTCAACGAACCAATAACTAACATTTCACATGCAAGTATACCAATTTTAGCATTTATGCATGCATAATATTCCATGTTTAAATATTTTCTTCGTCATCATGATCTCGTAAAATTCCGTAGCTGGACATGAGTCTCCCGTTGTAGGAAGTGTTTGTTATAATTATCACGGGTGGCAGACGGATGGACAATCGCAGTAGCAAACGTATTACCACGTCTTAGTATTCTTGCCTTTAATACTGCTTCGCGTCGCTGACCTGGGTAATTTACGCCTGGCATAAAGGAGATGATAAATCACCATCTAACAGAAGCAATAAGATCTTTTTAGCATAACGCGTAGTCGCCTTTTACCACACCCATGGGAGAAATGGGGTGATGAATTCTCCTAGGCCGCCGCCATATAAAACAATCATATATTCCGTATCACACATCTCTTCTCGTAGATGTCGAATAGGAAAAATAATATATAGTGAGATCGATCCGTTATATCGAATAAGCCGAGCAATATTTAGGAAATAACTATTAGTTAATCTGTTTCAATACTAACGTAAAGCTTGCATCATTTGTTCGAAACACAAGGGCAATCGCTATACTTGTCTCTAAAAAGTCGGCCAAGTGCGAGTCGGACTCGCGCATGAAGGATTCCGTACCATCGTAAAACAGGTTTCTAATAGTGGAGCCCCCTTTAATTTTTAATTTATTTTTATTTGTTGTTATAGCGGCAACAGAAACACACATTCTGTGAAAATTTCAACTGTCCACCTATTACGGATCATGAGATACAGTCCGCTGACAGACAGACAGACTGACAGCGGACTGGGTAGGCTTAGTAAAAGGGTTCTGTTGGTTACCCTTTTGGGTACGGAAGCCTAAAAACTAATAATGAGTGTTCTTGCTATTGTTATTGTTATTTTTTTATGTTTTATAAATTTATTCCTAATAATTTGTGGGTACCTATATATTTTTTAATTTTAAAATCCACTCTAGTAGGGATTTCGAATGAGGCTGGACTCTGGGACTGGTACCTGCCTAGGAAATGTAGTACTCACGTAAAGAGTATTATTGTTCTGTGATTAAGAAGCAATGGAGCGTTGTTTATGGGCAAACAAAGCGTGTTTTATGTAAAAAATAGCCTGACCTTTCGTTTGCATTATCGATTACATAATCTAAGTCAGAGTTCAAGCGTATATTTGATAAAATTATGGATCAAGAAGTTCGAGAAAACTGGTATGACATGAAGTAGGAGGAGCGAAGAGAACGTTGCGCAAGTTAACGCACCTGTGTACGAGACGATCCGAGGACGTCGACGCGCAAGCCTTTCGAAGCTTTGGCAATACCTCGATCAGCTTTGCGCCGGCTGAACAATGAGATAGGATTTAAAACTGCATCCTTAAAAGATACAGTTGGAGCAAGATTTGGACCGAATGATTTTGTTTTTAAGAAAAACATTCGTCGACATAATACTCGATCGTTTCACAAAATCAAAAAATTTTTTCAGGCGAAGCACATTTCCACCTAAACTAAATTAGACTAGATTCTGGAGATGGGAAACTCCGAAATTAAAATGTCAAAGGCCCTGTATTCTCGTAAGGAGATTGTGCTTATGTCCTCAATGGCCATTCATCATGGGCCCATACTTCTTCCAAGACATATTTGGTTTGAAGCAGTTTATTGTATAATGCGACTTGGATACAGCTAGATGGGAAATGTAAATCAGTGATTATGGAAATATTTTCAAACAGACCGATTTCATGCAGATACTATAGCCCCCTCGCAACCTAGTAGGGCTAGTACTGTACTTGACTTTTATGGGGTTATCACAAAAGTCGAGTTTCCTTAAATAAATTAGCGATAACGCTCCAACTTAAGAAAAATATTCGTCTAATAATTAATTAACGAATAATATAGACGAATGTTATTATTCCCTACGTTTCGAGTTTTTGAAAATATTGCTGTTAGATTTCTGGGTTGTCGGCGGCGTGATAAAGGACATGAAAACGATATAACTTTTATGAAATAGTTTTCCCATTTATCTATTTTAATTTGAATATAAAATTATTAAACTCGTAATACAATATGTAGTTTTATTTCCAATGCATTTTCAAAAGTGCAAAAATTTATGATCCACTGTGGAAAAGTTAAGTTACAGCTTTTATACGTCCTACTGCTGGGCAGAGTCCCCCTCTCATTTCTGATGGGAGATTAAGGGCAAGGCGGTGACCGTCGCGCTGCCCCAGTGTCCCAGTGTTGGCGGACTTCATATGTCTACGTATTTTTTTTTAATTTTACAGACATGCAGATTTCTTCTCGATGTATTACTACACTGTGTAGCACTTAAAACTGCAAGCAATTGGAGCTGTGTTGGATTTATTACCTTATAGAATTATGCGATTTTTTTTTATAAAATTTTGTGAAATTCTATGACGATAAATAGTCAATGGCGTTTTAATAAATATTTATTAATAAAATAAGAATGATATTGGATCAGGTGGGTATCAGTGAGGCAACAGGCGCGCATTTCCTGGCCGAAATACCAACGCGCGCAGGCGGTAGCTGGCGTCGAACCTCCACACGCCCGCGGACAGCCCTTTCGAGACAATTCTCTTCACCCCCACCCTCTGTGCACCGCTTCAAGTATGTAGATTTTACTTCTGTTAAATATGGTAACAAACAAACAAAACATTGTTTATTTAAGGTTATTTAAAAAAAAGCAAGATTTCTTGTTTGCATGACCATTTAAATAGGTAAGGGTCATTGTCACTTTATTTTAACACAGGTCCAGGTTTTTAAAAAAGGAATGGCGATAAACCTGCACACATTCCACCTGATGATAAGTGGATGCTGTGAGCTGTAACGCATAGACACTTACATATATCCTGGTTTACGAACTGTACGAAATATTTGCACGCAAACACATGATATATTAATAATGTGTTAAGGCATGAGTTGAGAAAGCCTCTGACTGCGCATAAGTATTAAGCACCCTTGTACCAATATAACTGACTAACTCTAACACATGTCCTGCGTAGTTTATAGGTTCCTTTGGAATAACGGAAGTTAGCGTGATCGAACACGACAAAAAGAACATCTTCGTTAATAATACCCAATTTTAATCTACGTTTAACAATTTACAACATTAGTTTTTAACCAATTATTGAGTTGGTAATTAAATTATTTGCACTTTAGGGTATTGTGTCTCTTATGCTATATCGAATTACACGTTACATGTTATACCTATTATTCTGATATTACAGATGGAGTCGTGAAGTACGACGCGCGGTGAGCGCGGACGAGTCGGACACCAGTCGGCCACGCGTGCACAAGACGCTCGCGCGGTAAATGAAATGTTTTCACTTTTCGTTCTACAAACTTACTTACGAAACGTCACATTACACTTTCAATTATTAAAATATAATAAAAGTTATTCACCACGAATTATATCCTTCGCCGACAATAATTGCTACTGATTGTCGAATGAGGCTCTGCCGATCAACTGACGGTTTAACATCCAACCATCATTCCAGATCTTAGCATAATATTTTTCTCTTGTTCTTTATCAGTATTTTAATGTACAGTCTGATATAGGCCTTTTCAAAAACCTTTAACGCACATAACTGCACTGGTAATGAAGCATTTCTTCTCCAGATTATAGGATAGGCATTATAATTAAGATACACTCACTCACTACCTTCCTAAGGATCCTTATCCTTAGGAAGGCCTATGTTATATGTAGTTTCGTGCTTTGTAGAATTCCTTAATTCTACAAAGCACGAAACTATCGTCGTAGTCACTCATCTATATACTATAATACGAAGCCGCTCTCCACTTCGCTTAAAGATACGAGACTGCCACTCGAAAACTCTTCGGTTGTCGATTCTTCAAGCTATGTGGTAAGCCCATTGCAACTTTAGTTTATTATTGTTCCGTTGGTCTATGGTGATTGTTCTGGATCTATTACGAATATTCTTATTACGAAGTGGCAGAGACGCAGAGTAATTCTGAGCTCGCTGAACTACCTTGAGCTTCTTCATACGGCCAGCAGTGAAGGACCACGTCACAGATCCATATGATTCACTTGCAATTGGTATACTTACATTAGAAGTGATATATCGTCACTTATCGATCACCAGCGTCTTGTCCTCTAATTGGCAGATGTGTGCTGCTGAGGTTGTAATATGCAGAAGTAGCTACATCCATCTAAACATGTTGTATTAAAATTAATAATTAAATATCAATACGCCTTTTGTTAAAATATTATTTTAAGATATATGTTTGGTTTGTGAAACTGTAATGTCTTCATGAATTTTAACTGTGTCATATTGTTCATACAGTGCCTATTTAATTTTAACTTCATTAAACGAGCATGAATTTTAAATACCCATGCACTTAGTTTTTAATATTAAGTTATAATTACAACATTTGTTACTTATGGTTTGTGCTTACAATGATATTTTTCTACTCTACAAATTACATAATAGTGCTTCTTTTTCTACTCTACTTTGTAGGGCTTCGTATAATAATTGTAAAGCATAAAGTTTCTTTGAAATCTACAATTATATAAAGTAGTGTTTCGATTTAAATCTTTAATAGTTTCATTTGTTTTATGAGTAAATAGGCTTAAAGCTGAAAAAATTAATGATAGTAATAATATAAACCATTGAATCTCTACCGTGCTATCTATCTACTTCATCGTTGGTGCATCTGTTAGTGATCGTGTAACTTTTGAACGACTTGATTGACTGATTTCGTATTTAGATAATACATTTAATTTATCAACACGTTGGTTCTTAGCTATGTTGAGAGCAGATATGTGGCACAGCAGTCAAACATTTATGTACCTAAATCTCTCAGAACCCGGTGCTAACATATAATTTACCGAAAAATTAAAGCCCAGAAATATATCACATTATATCACATTTTTGAGTTTCAGAAGTGGATATGTTCTTACTTTTTATCAAAAGTTTAATTTGTTTACCCCTTTTAAATGGACTACAATATCACAAGTTTTACTAGAATGTCGCCCAAATAATGTGGTGGATTTTAGCTAAATATATATAGGACTATTCTAGAGATACAGCCTATTTAATAAAAAAGAGTTCATTTCATCGGTTCAGCAGTTTCCTGAAATCGATAAACATACATGAAAACGTATATATATATATATATATATATATATATATATATATATATATATATATATATATATATGTCGTTTGAGAGAGTATAGGAGTTCAGTATACGCTTAGGGACTCTATGCGACGCAAAAAAATACAATAAAAAAAATTGGAAAATTGAACTTATGCGTATTACGAACAATACCATGAACATACGTAGCGAATGAAAATATTGATTAAAAGAAAAAAAGAGTGCATCCCTAGTTTTGACCATCAACACTTTGACAGTCCGCGGCGTCTTGTTGTCGGCGTCATGAAAGGTCAGATACTGACCTGTCAAAGAAATTGTGCAGCTATTCGGAAGTACAAGGTCAAGGTGCCGGCGGGTACTATTGATATTGCATACAATCGTCGCCGTCGCGGCGCACGCACTACATTTGACACTGTTTGATTGCCGACACAGAGTACATGTTCCAAAGAATAAAATAAGTTTACGGGTGCTCAGAGTGGACACGAATACGTTATGCTGATCTCGCAAGGAATATTGTAATTAGATAATGGTAAGGATATGTAAAAATCATAAAAAGTTATTCTAGTTAGTAATTATTATAACATTAACTATATGGGTTTATAATAATTACTTACTATTATTATTATTATTATTACCTAATAGATAAAGATGTTCATAAAGTTCACTGCAACTCTCGGCTTTTGGAAGTGTGTGTTTTTAAAACACAAAGTGCTCGAATATATCGTCACGCATTTGATAAATATTGTAGACACTTTTAAAACACTTGAAATGTGTAAAAATGGATCTGGATCTTGTCTTCAAGGCTTAGTTATTAACGAGTTGGAGGAGTACCTAAGTAAACCCAGAGCCGCCAGCTCGGAAGATATTTTAGAGTGGTGGAGGACGTATTAGACAAAACATCCGATTTTATCGAAGATGGCCCTTGATTTTCTTTCAATACCTGCAACTTCAGTACCTGAGAGATTTAGAGAGATTATTTTCTAAAGCGTCATTAGTAATTAGAAAACAGAAATATGTTAAGTGATGAGTCAGTCAGATGGTTACTTTGTATTAATGCTTGGTCAAAATAATTAATATAAAGTAACAGTAATGTCAAAGCTATTGTGTATTGTGAAGTAATTTAATTTGTATCGTATTTTATTTTTTACTAGCTGTTCCTCGCGACTTCGCCCGTGTGTTATTTGGGGTTTTTTCTTTTTTTGCCCGGAACCCTATTTCTTTTTCTTTTTCTAAAATAAAAGTAGCCTAAGTTACTCCTTGTGACATCAGCTATCTGCCAATGAAAATCCCGTCAAAATCGGTCCAGTCGTTTCGGAGATTAGCCGCAACAAACAGACAGACAGACAGAGAAAAACTTTAAAAATTGTATTTTTGTTATTAGTACCGTATATACTTTCATATGCATTTAGTAAAAAGCTGTAATTTTGACATTACAAACAGCCACTTCAATTTTATTTATTTGTATAGATTTAAATAAATGGTGAATTGTATAACTCTTTTATTCCATTTCATATATGGTGAGGGTCCATCAATTTCTTTCTAGACAGATAATTTTCTTTAAAATGCAGTAAAGTTATTGCCATTAATTTGTTTTTATATGTTTAACCATGTTTTAGTACATGTAAGCTTATTAAATGTAAACGTTTATTAAGAAACAGACTGACGCCCGTGGCCGTGGGACACGGTAGATAGCTCAGTTGGTTAGAGCATCGGCACGGATCGCTTAGGTCGTGGGTTCAAACCCCACCCAGTGTCAGTCGATTTTTCGAATTTCTCATTAAATGTTAAGACATTTATTAATTTGGTTGGTCTTTACTATGGCTACGTTAATTCAAGCTCAATATGTACCTACTTTGTTAAATTGTTCTAAGATCTAAAGTAACGTTTAATAAATAGTACCTAATAGGCTAATAGGTAATTGCGAGACTTGCGAGACTCTTGCTGCAAGACCAAGACCAAGAACAAGACTGGGAGCGCAATACCAAGACCAAGACCAAGACCAGGTGTATTGGCGCAAGACCAAGACCAAGACTTGCTAAGTCTCGTCTTGTTCTTGCATTTGGGCAACACTAAATACCAGCGTAAAATAGCAGCTTAATGCTCCTGTGTTTCCTTAATGCTCGTATGGTGAGTGTAGAGAACCGGAGACCCAAAGGAAAGAGGCATTCGATCTTAATCCTCACGGCTGACAACGCATCTGCATTTTAATTCGCAAGCGAAGATAGATGTAGATGTCTATGGGCCACACTTACCATCAGGTGGACTGTGTGCTCGTTTGTCACCTTCATTCTATAAAAAAAACCTCTCCTTTTGTGAGGTCAGTTAATTATATACTCATATGATAAAAATATTTCGTTAAAGCATAGAATTTCATTTAGATCATAAATAATATCCTTTTGTATTAGATGGACACCGCGGACACTACACCGATTGTTAAGCACCGACGGCGATGCACAAGCAGACGATCTTCAAGAAAATGGTCAGTTTAACATGTTACTAAAAATGCGATTGTATGAATTCTATAAGATTTAATTATATATTTAGAGAGTATTTTATGTTTCAGCTAAAGATGAATCCACAACAGTCGACACAACTTTTGCTTCGGTTCCATCTAATGGTGTTGAAACAACAACTAGCAAACATTCTGATAATTTAATGTCAAATAAGGAGGACTCGGAACAAATAATTAGTGAGGTGATTATGATTATGATTCACACAACAACTGTACGTAGTTACGGAGAAAAGTTCCAATAGTTACGTTACTATTTAAGAAAGGAAAATAAAAAATACTCGGGTCAAAAATTAATTTTACTAAGCCGCAAGAATTAAAGCTCCAGCTTCGGAAAGAATTTTGTGAAAATTATTTTATTCTTTTTACATTTTGAAGTCGATTTTTACTTTTTATCAAAAGTTTAAAACTTTAATACTTTTATAACAATAAACTAAGCAATATTACAAGCTTAACGCAACAACTAGAATAACATATACCTACCATATACCTACCTATAACTTATATAGGGTCTATACTTAAAAGCACTTTAAATTAAAAGCAAAAAAATAACAGTTAAGAAAGCAAAATTACAAACTTATTACAGCAAACAATTCAATAAATAGCGATTCAAGCTTTCTACATCATTATCACAAAGTGCCATTTTGTAAATTAAATACCTTTTTTATAACTATGTCCAGTTTCAAAAATGTTTAAGTAATAACGAAATATTTTTTTGGCTATAACACAATCTTATTTGTCCAACTGTACTTTCTTTATCATTACATAATTTATGTTCTAAGTTCTAAGAATGCATCAACTGAACATGCCAAGACAAGATTTAGCCCATACTCACCACGTTGGGCAGATAGCCTGTCGAGTGTAGAGCTGACACTATGCACCGGCGATGCTATCTCATTACCAATCTGTGGGATTTGAGTTTGTTTCGCTCGCCAGAGCCCCATTTGTTGATTACTAAGTGACAGGCGAGGTTATCACATGGAGAAACTGTTACTGCATCTACCGTTATACTTTAATCGTCTTACCTAACAGTCCTCCGCAGCAAATAGGTCATCGGACGATCGTCGATTGTAGGAAGGACTTGCCTTAGCCTTCACGCTTGGCAGGCGGACTAGCAACAGCAGTAACAGATCTCTCACACCTTTGACGTTGCTTCCGTCGTTGATCAGGGTTTTTTACATCGTTTCATATTCATCACATCATATAAATTGGCCTCATTTCGGTTTTTTTTTATAGGAGAGTGGGCAAACGAGCATACGGCTCACATGATGGTAAGTGATTACCGCCGCCCATGAACAACTGCAACACCAGGGGAATTGCAGATGCGTTGCCGGCCTTATAAAAGGAGTACGGTCTTTTCTTGCAGGTCCTTAAGTCGCATCGGTCCGGAAAAATCTCTGGTGGTAGTTGATTCCATAAGGAAGTTGTGCGAGGAAGAAAACATCTTCTAAATCGTACAGTGGTGGACCGCCAATCATTCAGATGGTGTGGATGGTATCGGGAATTCTGCCACGATGTGCGTTCGTGAAATTTGGCGGCTGGGATTAATCCGAACAATTCCTCAGAGCACTCCCCGTGGTAAATGCGAAAGAAAATGCAAAGAGATGCAACATCTCTTCGCAGCGCAAATGAGTCGAGCCGATCGGAAAGAACTCGGTCGTCGACGATTCGAGCCGCTCTGCGCTGGATGCGGTCAAGTAGAAGGAACTGGCACTGAGGAGCCTCTGCCCAGAGATGAGAACAGTATTCCATGTAAGGCCGAACCTGCGCCTTGTAAAGTTGCAGGCAGTGTGCCGGCATGAAATAAGGTTTCTTCTCTTCCAAGTGACCACAAAAGTGCATGTCACTCGATGTGTCTACGCCGAAAATTCCGATACTGGCTCAGGCAACAAGAGGAGTGCCTTCAAACTGAGGAGATACGACGAAGGAGTCCTTTTTAGCGGTAAACGCGCAAACTTGTGTCTTCTGACTGTGTGTCGAGACTTTGTTCAACAAAGTCTCGACTTCAGACACAACTTTGTCCTGGTACTCGGCGACCTTTTCCCGAGAAATATTGGCACGGCCGGTGTATAAAGCATCACCAGTGCTTTCATCCGCATAGCAATGAATGTTACTGGTTTGCAACATGTCATTGTTATGCAAAAGAAACAGCGTTGACGATAGCACGCAGCCTTGTGCAGCACCAGCGTCAGTGGGCTTGTAATCGGAGCATGCACCGTCTACTACGACCTTGATGTTCCAATCTGGAAGAAAGCTGGTGATCCAATTGCACAATTTCTCGGGAAGCCCATAGGAAGGAAGCTTCGTAAAAAGCGCTCTGTGCCAAACCCGATCGAAGGCCTTCGCTATGTCCAATCTATCGGCCAACGCCTCCCCGTTAGACTCCTCCTGCCTCCGCCCATTTATGAATTAGGTAACCCAGAAGATCACCAGCCGAGCAACCGCGACGTTTTTTTCAATAGCCATCTCTTACGATACCCACGGGGCGAAATTGATTTATAATTAAACATATTTGATTTATTCCAGAGCTCAATTTGGTGCGTGTACGCACTTGCGTGCGGTTGGTGGGGCGCTATGTACTGGCTAGCAGCGGCGGCCGCGCAGGCATTTACGCTCACTGCTGACTGGTGGCTTTCTAACAGTGCCGCGACCAGCTCAAGGACAGCTCTTACTGATGATGATGTAAGTAAACCATTCATTCATTACAGCCTATCAAAAGTCTGCTACTGAACTTGGGCCTCTCCCAAAGATGCCTTATGAGGGTTGCCAAAATTGCCACGCTTACCAAACGGGTTGGCAACCACATTGTTTTATTATTTTGATTCTGCTTCTAATCTCATATTTCAGTATCCCTCTGTCGCCTCTTACGACCACAGGATTATATGGGCTAATAAGTAGATTCTATTGCGCCGTCACTACACGGTACTGCAATTCTCCATTTTATGTGTTTTATTTTGTCATTCGAATTAAAAAGAGATATCTCATAAATAAATAAACTAGCTGTTCCCCGCGACATCGTCTGCGTGGAGTTTATTACGCTTAGATTTCATGGGTTTAATTTTTTTTGCGCGGAACCCCTAATTCATTTTCTAAAATAATAGTAGCTTAAGTTACTCCTTATAAAATTAGCTATCTGACAGTGAAAGTCTCTTTGAAATTGGTTGGATGGAACAAACAGACAGACAGGCAGACAGACGAACATACAAAAAATTTAAAAATGTTTTTTTTTCATAAGTACCGTATATACTAATATATGCATATTGTAAAAAGCTGTTATTATGAAATTCCAAACAGACACTTCAATTTTATTTATTTGTATAGATAAATATATGTATTATTTGAAACTAACTACAACACCGTGTACCTATAACGAAAATCATTGTACTTCAATAACGGCAACGTTGTATCTTTAAAAATTACAATATTTAGTGTAAATAATTTAAAGAATTTTATTATTAGTGTAAATATTAAAAAACAAAATGGAAATCCTGTGGCTAAACTACAGAATGCATTACATTGACTTATATGTACGATAAAAAAACGCTGTAACACAGAATAAATAATAGTACTACGTAGCTGTAGTTTGTCCGACTCGATTTTCGTTCAAGGGTCAAAAAGATCGATTTTAACCAAATGTCCAGGGTTTTCGAATTTTTGCCCGGCATCGGCAATTTAGGCGATGGCAGCCATATGTAATGCTAACACTTTGAGGATTGGATGATCGTGTAGTGCCCACATTAAGTTGGAAGGTAGGACGATCGTAGGAAAGAAAACTTATACTGTGAGTGTTACTCGTTTATGAGTGGAAAAGGCAATCGTTTACCAATCACAAGTAGGAGTGACAAACGAACACGTAATCTGATGACAAGTGGATGCTGTTGCTCATAGATAGATACATGACGGCTCCGTGGCACAGTGGCTTAGCAATGAGTTGCTGCGCTGGGGGGCGCGGGTTCGAATCCCGCACGGAACAAGTATTTGTATGGCCTACAAATAATTGTTCCGGGTCTGGATGTTTGTCCTTGTGCAATTTGTGTTTGTAAACTGCCTCCACGATACAGGAGAAAATCCTAGTGTGGGGGTAACGTTTTTTAAAAAGAAAAAAAATACATGTATAGCTCTTGATTGAATTTGAACCAAAAATAGATATAACAACGGATTTACGAATACCCTATGGACTACAAACGGTGGTCATATCGCTTTAAGCGAATTCTACCAGACAAACCGATCGTGGAAGGAAATTGTAATCTTATATTTAACAAAGTGAGAGGTGCAACGCACAGTATTAACTGTGCTAAATATAATAAATTATACTTACGTTATAAATATACCTAGTCAGGTCATAAATTCTGTCACATGTTTAATATAAAATAATTGAAACAAGTTTATTCATTATGTAACCATTTATATACCAAAATGAACTTAACAAAACATAGATTCTTATGACACTGAAGTTTATTCAAAATGACCTCCGTGATTTTGAATACAGGCCTTGAATCTGCGCGGCCAGTCGTCTATCGCAGCACGAACGAGGTCCATGTCAATATCGGCGGCTGCCTTAATCAAGGATGTCTTGAGTGACTCCAAATTGGGATGAGGCTTTGAGCATGCATTTTCCTCCAAGTGTTGCCATATCTTGTAATCTAACGGATTCAAATCTGGACTGGAGGAGAGCCAGTCTTCGTGCCGGATGAAGTCGATTTCACGCGCCGCCAGCCAGTCTTGTGTGCTCTTCGCTCTATGAGCTGGCGCCGAATCTTGTTGGAATACCCAGTGCCTGTTATTGAACATGGTATGAGAAACAGGTTCCACAAGGTTCGTCAGGACTGTATTTTGATACACAACTGCATTCGTTTTTACACCTTTCTCACAAAAATGTACCTCTGTTAAGCCCCAATAAGAAACTCCCAACCATACCATGAGCGAGGATGGAAAATAACCTCGTTGGACACGCGGAATACGGTTGCTCGCTTCTTCACTACTGTGTGCGTACACCTTATCATTTTGTTTGTTGCAGCTCTCTTCTACGGTAAAAATATTTTCATCCGAAAAAAGAATTTCCCGATATTTTTTTCCCGCGTACCGCTTCAACAAAGCGCGGCATCTCTTCAGTCTCAGGTCTATTAGACGAGCATTCAAACGATGTCCTGTTTTTCTTCGATATGCCTGAAGCCCTAACTCTTCATTTAACACCCTTTTCACCGTGGTTCTGCTTAACCCCATCTGAAGGGCCAACAGTTTCTGCTTACGTTTGGGATTTCTTTGAATTCGCGCCTTCACAGCTTTTATCACTGCTGGAGTCCTAACAGACCGAGGGCGACCACTTCTTGACCTGTCATCTACACTAGAGTCTTCATTGTATCGTTTGATGGTACGATAAACGAATCTTTTGGTTATATTCAAATTTTTCAGTATGTCAAAAATTTGAATTGGCGCGTAACCGCAACGATGCAACGCAATAACTGCAACACGGTCTTCTTTAAGCGTCCACTCCATATTTAAAAATGAGTAAAATTCTAAAAAGTATACAGTTTTATTTTCATGAACAATTCGAAATTCGAATTCAATAAACTTTTTTGTGTCCAGCATTCTAAAAGAAAAGTTTTTACTGTGTGACAATACTTATGATCTGATTAGGTATAATATGATATAAAATAATATGTATATTTGATATTCTGCAAGGTATGATAGTTTGCAGTTAACCATACGTCCATATTTTCGATATTCGCCACCCCCTATACAAAACGCCGACTATATTGAGACTATTTTACGCGGGTTCTGTGCAAGGTATGTCAGACAGTCGACTGGTGGTTTTCCGACAGTGTTACGACGTACTCATAGACAGTTCTTACTGATGATGATGTAGGTATTGTGTACGAGCGTGGTACGTCCTCGGTAGAGCCGATAGTGCAGTGTGGCGCCAGCATGAGGTCGGTGGATCAGTTTTCTTTATAGAATAAGGGTGACAAGCGAGCACACAGCCCACCTGATGGTAAGTAGATGCCGTGGGCCATAGACATCTACACCTATCCTCGATTAATTATGAAAATGCAGATGTGTTGTTACTCCTGAGCACCAAGATAGAATGCCTCGTATCCAGTAAAAAGGGTCTCCGGTTCTCTACGCTCACCATACGAAACACATCAGCATTGAGCAGCTATTTGACGCTGGTATTATGTGAGAGCGTGGTCTTACCTTGGTCGAGCTGACCCATTCGTGCTACAACCATAATATAGCTGCAATATGGTTATAGCACATATTTAAATTGCAGGTGTGGGCGGCGGTGTGCGCGTACGTGTGGTGGAGCGCGGGCGGCGCGGCGGGGGGCGGCGCGGCGCAGGCGTGCGGCGCGGGCGCGGGCGCGGCGGCGCGGCGCGCGCTGCACGAGCGCCTGCTGCACGCCACGCTGCACGCGCCGCCGCACCGCGCCGCCGCCACCGCGCTGCACCGCTTCTCCGCCGACATCGCCGTCGTCGATCGGGCACGTACACTATTCTCCTTCTTATTTTACGCATGCACACCATACATTTTGTATATACTTACGTATACTATATCTATGATGCACACACTCTCTTTCTCTCTCTCTCACACACACACACACAGACATACACAAGTACGAATTTATGATATTTATAATTCTAACTTTAAAAAATGTAATTTATAACTTATAAAAGTTAAGGAAGTGAGATGTCTCCACACACAGGCTATTTTTAGCTTTATTAAGCTCCTCTTTTCCAATTGGAGACACTTCCCACCATCATTTACGGGTAATAAGATAATATTGTTAATGAGTTATTTTTATTACGTGGTAGAGCCATGCTGCGGCTATATTACTGGTATAGTTGTTGTACACGCCCCTAGTTGCCCCTACAAAGGTCCTTGGCAGGTCCAGAGTTGGGAGTCGTCCCAACAGCTCCGGCTGAGTAGGCTGCTTCCGAGAGGATTCAGCCAGGCCACTCAGCCGAGCTTCACGTGCTTCATTAGCATACTTGGCCCCCGCCTCGATCAAATCGTCCGTGAGCGAAAAAAATTTCTCGTAGTCCGCGAGGCAGGAGTCTAGGACTCCCTGTTCCGCATCTGAGGCCAAAAGCTCTGTGCAAGCCTCCTCCACTACAGCCCTTCGGGCATCCACCTGCTCGAGCCGCTTCCCCAAACTATGGACCCGATCGGATCGCCCTATCAAAATATGAGCATTAGCGGCCCAGCGCAGCTCCGCCTGCAGGCGAAGCGCCGGTAGCTTGTGCGATGGCATCACTACTAAATACAAATTAATCCGCGGCACAAATACAAATCAAATTAACAAATAACAACTACAATTTCTATTAAATTAAGTTAAATACAAATTACACTACACGGCAAATACACACTACCGTCGGTCAGCAAAGATGCCTCGCTGAAGCGACTGGCCCTTCGGCAATTCAATCTACTTCACCGAAATACCTGACGAGTAACCTAACCCTAAACAAACTACACTCCGGCTTGCGCAGCCTAACGGGCGTGGTTTTTAATTACATTTTTAATTAAACGCTAACAAACAAACAAAATATTTAATTTTTATTACGTACTATTTTTATTTATATTACGGCCGGGCTTGGTTGGAGAACCAAGTAACCACGCTCTGCTACCACTTTTGTACACGGCTCTAGTTGCCCCTACAAAGGTCGATTGTCCCGGGGCCCATCAGCGGAAGTCGCGACGGGCAACCAAGGGAGGGGCCCAATGGCCTATGGATAAATGTTCAAAAACGGCTGACAAATAAGCAAGCACTTACCGATCTCCGGAGGTAGGGTTGACCACAGGGTACCAGGCAGGTGATAAGTGAGGTGTATGTAAAGTGGTGTGCGAAAGTGTATATACATGTAACCTGACGGTCCGATGTAATCGGAGAGAAGATCCACAGGCGCTGCTGCTCTCCAAATGTGCGATCCCTCCAGTCGTAGTTCACCAATTGAAAACTACTGCCTTCTTTTCACTATTTCAGTTTATCAAACTTATTGTACATTTAATTAACTTCAAAGTCAACCAACGCAACGTTCATCGAAATTAAAACAAGTGACACACGACACAAGTAAAGAACCACAAATTACCCCCTAATAGATACCGCATCATTGAATATTTTTTCTGTTTCGAGTTCACCAAATTTGGCCCTATGCAAGGGTTGCGGGGGACGTGGCAAATGCGCTGTGATTGGATATTTAAAGGTCAAATTTAGAATGTACCAAACCATAGTAATGGAACAGGGTTGGGACGTTGATCGATAAATTTGGGATTTATTGATTATTGATAATGATAAATAAATATATTGATCAATTTTTATTTGATGTTTATTAAAAAATTAATCATTGTATACATATATTTGTACATTTAATTTATAAATATATATTTGACTGATTTTTAAAATGGATAATCTTAGTATAAAATTGTCTCACAGAATTCTTAGGATCTATCTTCCTGGATGAGTAGAGTAATCTTACGAGTATGTCTATGTATTTTTCCATAACACTCTTAGCTAAATCAATGACATGATTACAACTTTCGTGATCGAATTGGTGATTTTTTTATTTCATGAAAAATATCCTCATTAACAAAACTGCTTATTTATTTGTTTAATTATGCTTATTTATCTATATTTATTATTTTTATTATTATATATATTATTTTATTATTATTATTATTATTTATAATTAAGCTTAATTGATTGTGTTAAAACTACAAACTTTCCTAGTGTTTTTACAGAAGGTAAAGAAGTATTAAATGTTTTGCGTACATAATTATAAGCCTAGCTGAGTAATTTATGGTGAGTGCAAAAGCTCTCAATTGTGGTGAATGTTTTTTTCTAACAATTTTGCTATTTTTAGAAAAAAAAATTCTAGATTTTGATTTTTCTAAGGAACTTAATGCGTCATTGTTTTCCGCTGCTAATGAATTTTTGTTTTCTAATTCTACCAATAGTGACTTCAAAGAAACTATTTGTGTTTTTAGTCTTCTGTTGGAATCACTTAACTTTTTAACTTTTTTATCTTTTTTGTTCATTGCGTTGGTTAATTCGATGATTCTTCTACAAAGACGTTTTTAACTGGAGTATTAAATGCAGATGGCGTATCAGGTATAGGAAAAAAATTCTTTTTTGTTTTGTAGGCGTTTCTAAGCAATGACTCTGATTTTTAGGTGTTGGCGGGTTTTTCGCGTCTTTCAGCGGTGAACCAGTAATCTAAATCAGAAATACATATTCGTTTCTTTTAAAACATTACCGATATAGTATTATTAATTAATACACCATACGGCACGTCTTCCAAATTTAGATGTACTTAATAATTATAATAAGATAATACTGAAGTTCATGTAACACTAAATACCAAGTCAAAACAATAATCACATTATAACTTTTACAAGTTTTATGATTTATAAATCCGTTCAAAATAGCTTGATTTCAACGTGTAACATTTACCTAAATATAAGAATATCATGTTTCACTCAACCACTTAATGATATTATTGTGTAATTTACGTTAGTACTAATCTTTAAAAAAAATGCCAAAGTCCATACCAAAACTGGCAAGAATCCAACAGCTTTATACGGTTTTTCATAATATTATGAAGATGTAATATTTGAGCATAGTACACTATTTTTGGTGGGAAACCATTCGTCCCCTCGACAATTTGCGTCGATCCACATTTTTTTTCCTTTCGGGGCATTTAGGAAACTTATAACATATAGGTACCACAATGATACGTCACTATTTTATAAAATAATATGACTTCGATAAAAATAATTAAACGATGACCAAACAAATATCGACTTAAAAATCACAACACTATCGATACACGTGCTGTTGTTAGACAAAGACAACTATTACAATTTACGTAACGAGTGAAAGGGACATTTCAAAAAGACATCAACGGGTGCTTAATTGTTATCACTTTGCACCGTTAATATACCAGTATAAGTTGATCTCCGGTGCATTTGAAATAGGTTAACGTGATAAGAATAGAATTTACTTACCAACTAAAATTTATGCCATCTTTTTGATAACTGGATGTCTTAGCTGATTTGTTACACCATTTTAATGCACAGGAAGCCATTTGTAATGTATTTTAGATATAACACGCGTCACGTAAAAACAACGCTGGAAGAAAGTGGTGGGAGTGTGTTTGCGCATGGGTACAGTCTCGCACGAAAGTTATGTGCCTATTAATTTATTTTTTAACTAGGCTTTCGCTCGCGGGTCGTGGCTTCGTACCTATATATTTGTTATTCTTATTAGTTATAACATTGAAAAATATATTAGATAAAATATCAATAAAATGAATTAAAAACATGTTTGAATTATGTATTATAGAATGTTTAATCGAAATAAAATTAAAGTAATGTTGAAACTCCTTCCATTAAGTCATCATGCGTGACGTGAAAACCAGATGAGGACGCGGTGTTGGTGCTAGAAGTGGCCATTTCATCGTCGTCGCTGTCGTCACTCGAGCTTCCATCCTCATCTGAGTCGGAATCATGATCCCTTATGTGGATAGCAAATGTTTCTGTCATCATGTCCACCACATGATCGCTTTTACAGTAATCAGCCTCTATTTCTTTTACCTTCGTGCATAGCTTCCCCCATTCTGTTGCTCCCATTAAATTTACTTTTTCATGAATCAACTCAGTTATACGTGTCAGGTTCCAAGTTACATTTTTACAGGCAACATAACTTTTTATTTGGGACCAGGCCATTTCAATAGGATTCAGGTCCGGGTGATATGGGGGCAAACGAAGTACAGAATGTCCTGCTTCGTTCAAAATAGCATCGATATTAAATTTCTTAAATTTATCTTTGCATTTTTTTATTAAGTTGTACAACTCCGGCTTTAGCATGGTCTCTTCAAATTCAATACCTTTTTGACGAAGCCAGGTTTGCATGTCTGCTTTCTTTGAATTGGACGTTGGTGCAGCATCGAGTTGTTTATTGTGGTACGATGCATTATCGACTACCACGACTGAATTAGGCGGTAAATTTGGTATCAGTTGAGTACGGAACCACCGCTCGTAATTTTCAGAATTCATATTGTCATGGTAGTCGCCGCTTTTTGTACCGGCTTTAAACGTCAGTAAAGCATTCGGCACAAAACCTGCATCGCCACCCGCATGCACTATGACTAAGCGGCTACCTTTAGATACAGGTTTTTTAATGCCCTTGGTGGAACCGTCTGTCCAAGCATGGTGAGACGCATGGGAACTATCGACGTATGATTCGTCAGTGTAAATGATAGGTCTTACTTCCTCTCTATATTTTTTAATCTTTCTCAGATATTCAATTCTTTGAAATCGAATTTGTGACTGCTCAATTAAGATTTTTCTATTGGTTTCCGTTTTTTTCCATTTAAAACCCAAGTTTTTCAATACTCGCCTGAGACTTGCTGCAGATCCTTGGAAATGTATGTCATCCTGTAACTTCCTTTGCAACTTGCCTATGGTAGGCAATTCTTTTTCAGTAACGTGAAAATCATTCTTTTTATAACACCCTGGTCAAAGCTGTCAATGTCTGTTATTGGTTTTGTTTTTTTTTTCTTTTATTTTTGCCGGGAGTTCGGAAAACAGTAAGAAATTCCGAATCTTTTGAACCCTTTACTATTCGTCTCACTGTCGACTCGGAACATTTTGTTGCCTCTGCGGTCCGTTTCATACATTGTTTTAAATTATTAACTACATTATTATCAGCTTCCCTCTTCATAAAACAGTATACGTCATAAATCATTTTTCTCACTTCTCTATGTAAAACCATTTCGTAATTTAAACCTTTTGTGCGCGATGGTATTTTTAAAAGGAACGTAACGTGGATATACGCGGGAAGCAAAGCTCAACTGATGAACCAATAGCGCATCGGTAAACATGCGGCGCGTGGCTCACCCGCCCCGCACCCCCTCATACCACCAAGTAGACCGATAAATCGCCTATGCGCAGCTTGACCGCCAGCGTTCTTTTTACGTGACGCGTACTATACAAAACTATTTTTAAATTATCAAGAACTCGGACGTGCCTACGGATCACAAACTTGGTCGATACTGATGTCGTGATTCTTAGCTTCACTTCGTATGCTAGCTAGAGCAAGTATGTGTTGCGCGCGTTTGTGGCCCTGTATGCGGAATCTATTAGGAGGTAATCTATATAAAGAACAGTATTCAAAGTTCCGGGTTCACTCAGCACAGAATTACAAACACGGGAATGAACGCGGTTTCTTCTTGAGTCACAAAGTTCAGCGTTCTCCCGAACAAGCCGAATTCTTTCGTACGATATTAAATGCCACAAAGCAACTAGTCGAATCAAATTAACGTCAATCAAAGTTAAGTTAATAATTCAAACCCAATACAAGCCTCCCGTCACGAAACGTACATTTCAGACAAATCAATTCGAGGCGGTCTACACGAGACCCAAATATTCAATAGTAAATTAGGCGCGCACAATTTACTCAAATTCTAGACCGTCAAAAAATCTAAACCGGCCGCACGCAACCAACCCAGCGGTCGCAAAAACATACTATACCATGGCCCGCGCGTCGAGCTACTGCCGTGGCACTCGACGCCTCGGCAAAACCAGTTCCGTTAATCGCCACATCAGGTGACCGGGCGTGAGCGGGGGGAACGCGCGCGGGGAAGAGAGGCCCGGCAGCGACCCCTGTTACCAGTGACGCGAGCGCTCGTAATGCAGTTTTAAAAATTAACATTTAGCGCAAACAGTTGTAGTACGAATGGGAAGGACCACGTTCTCACGAACACCAGCGTAAAATAACAGCTTAACGCTGCTGTGTTTCGTATGGTGAGTGTAGAGAACCGGAGACCCGTTTAACTGGAAATGAGGCATTAGATCTTAGTCCTCACGGATGGCAACGCATCTGCATTCGTCGTAATTTGTATGATAAGTAGTCGTGATATGAAAATGCATCAACAGAACATTGACCATGTTTAGCAACATGACCAATGAAAAAACATGAATAAGATCCAGAAGAGATGGGGAACAATGTGGAAAAAAGTGAGTAGCAGAAAGAGGGAGAGTATGTAAGTTAGCTGCTTGAACTTATAGATTTCAATCGAAAGGATCGCGAGTCGCTCTTTAAAAGGCACGTGTTAAAATCACCCACGATGATAGAGTGCTGATATAGTGGAATATATTTGTCTAAGAGGCTTTCAAACGTAACAAGTATTCGATTGTAAGGCTAGGATTGTAAAAAACATCTAGAAATAGCTTGGTACCAGAAAAAGGAACCTCAATAATTAAATGTTCAGTTTCTAAAGTGCCCTTGTCAGTTGACATACTTATATTTGTGAATGGTCAGTGCGAGCGAAGGTAGATGGCAACACTTCCACCAACGTGAGCATTACGATTATTCCATATTAGTTGAAAGCTTGGAAGATCATATGATGTGGAGGACAAACATGGTTCAAGCCAAGATTCAGAGATCAATATACCATGTATGTTTTTGTTATCAAATGATGAGAGCATGTCTGGATAATGTACAGGAATACTCCGGGCATTAATATGGAAAATGTTAAAATTTTTCAATACATCTGAGAAGTGCGAATCTAGTGTTTGATTAAGAGAAGGGAAACTGTAGAAATTATTACTACTATTCAATCTATCAGAGGACGAAGGTGAAAACAATAAGTCATATATAGATATAGGCTTATATCTTGAAAAGACATTGTATGTAAAATATCAATAAACTAAACATAAAATACCTAAATAAAAAAATGTGATATAAATAACATAAAAAAGACAGGTATTTATAATGCCCACCAACTACAGAAAGCCGTCACCAGTCGTATCATAACAGAAAACCCTCCTTTGGTAATCGGGTAAAAAGTCGAAAAAGTTGTAACAAGAGTCCATATGAGACAAGAGATGACATGTTAAATTTTAATATATTTTTGATATATCATCATGAAAATGGCGTTGCAATACCAATATTGTGTTTTAGTCAGAGAGGACAACTTTGCATAGCACCCACTTTACTTACCTAAGACACTGATTAAAAGGTCACATAGTCGTGAAATATCGGAAATGTCTAAAATCTAAAATGTATATATATATATATAATATATTCAATTTTAATTTTAATTTTATTTTCAATTTAAATTTTCAATAATTCCAATTTTATCAACTACAGAAGTTGGCAACCGCGGTGACGCGATGGGCGCAGCTTGCGCTGTTGTGCGCAGCTGCGGTGCTGGTGAATATTATTGCGTCGGGCTGGATGCTTCTGGCTTTCCTTCCTGCGTTTCTTTGTTTTCTACTACTGCAGAATATCTACTTACACAATGCTAGGTACATTTACATAATCTGTATATTTTTATAGATTATTATTAATAAGAAGAATGCAACTAAAATTTAAAAAACATTATGAACTTAAAACTTTACAATTCTAAATATAACTAATAACAGAGTACCTGACACCTTCTAAGATCGTAGTCAAATCATCCTTCGAATTTGGGCGAACGGTGATTATTCTTATAAAATTTTATATAATATCAGTCCCTGCATCTATGATACTTTGGGCTGTATAATAGTTACATCGGATCGGTTGATTGCAGCTAGAAAAAATTTAAATAAGTTATGGACGTAACCGTGAATGATAAAAGACAAGGCATATAATATACAATCGCATTTTTTTATAGAATAAGGGTGACCAACGAGCAAACACTCCATCTGATGGTAAGTCAATGCGGTGGCCCATAGACATATATACGTCTATGCTCGATGAAAAATCAAAATGCAAAGCGTGTTGACAATCCTGAGGATTAAGATGGAATGTCTCGTTTCCGATAAAAAGAGTCTCCGGATCTCTCTACAATCACCATACGAAACACAGCAACTTTAAGCTGCTATTCCATGCTGGTATTCTATTGGCTTCGCCACACTATGCTCCTCGCGCTACTCACTGCTCTACTCGTCGCGCTGACGCGATACTTCCCTCTCTGGCCCCGCACTGCTTTACTCGCGCAATTATCGCGACGCTCCGCACTAGGTTGCTTGCTTTTGAAACACAATGGATATTGAAACTATGGCAGCGTGCGCGTTATATGCATGTTTGGTATAGCTAATGATATCAATGTCATAAAAAGAAATATACGTCGTCGTCCTCGACAGTGGAGATGGCGGATGAAATCTATTCACCACAATATAACGACGCTTTCGTAACGAGCGCCCGATTGGAACTGCGTTCTCGCGATATGTGACCGGAAAGTCACGCTCATATTGCCAGTCCTTTGACTCGTGCCTAAAAAACCGACAAAACGGGGAGCGATGAGCATGAACGAGGAGCATGACGTGCGGCATGACGATTATACTACGTCTCTTTCTCTCTCCTTTTCTCACTACTTACTACCCCACTCAACGAGTGTGTGGCAGGGGGGTATGAGGAGAGTGTGGTCACGATATGGCGGATGCACTGCTATAGCACGTACTGGTGTGTTGCACTCGCAGCGAGGTGCAGCGGTCGGAAGCTCAGAGCGCGGCGCGCGTGGCGTCGCTGTGCGTGCAGACGGGCGCGGGCGCGAGCGCAGTGCGTGCGTGCCGCCTGCAGTCCCGCATGCGCGCCGCCTTCTTCACACGCCTCGACCGCAACCACAACTCGCTTTTGCTGCTGAACACCGCCAACCGTTGGCTTGGACTCACACTGGTCCGTTCATACTTTATACGTTTCTTTATCCTTTATTCCAAGAACCAAAAAAGGGGATACCTACGTACGGTCCGCACACCCCATTTTGTGATAGAATAATATTTGATTGTAACAGAAGAAGAAATATTTGACAGGCCTATAATGACCGATTGGGTACGAACCGTCTCCAATTCGAATGGTTACAGTGTAAAACTTTTTAATTTCTTAATCTCAATTATTACAAGGATTCATAATTTATAAAGCGTACAATGAATACGCTTTATAAGATTAAGTTAAAGCTAGGTTAAGTTAAAAGAGAATTGTTTCTTATTTTGGCGCAAAATTTCTCAGCAATAAGCAATTCTGTTCTTATATTTTCTTTGTCTACGACGACAAAACGCGAAAACTTTGTAATGATTATTTTTTACTCACTTGCCGAATGTGGATTGTGTAACATTCCGGATTTTATAATGGCTATTTTGCTAGAACAGCTTAGTCTGCGAAAAATTTCTCATTTACCTACTGTATTAAGTATGCCGAAACTCTGTCCGTTTAGTAATTGATTGATGATCGTCCCGCAAGTGTCGTAAACGGCGACAGAGGGAAACAAATCAGATGATAACCAGCGGTATTCCTAATAACAACTAAAAATTAAAAACTATCCTGCTAAGGGTGACAACATTGGCAAATATCCTCGCTATGAGGTTATCTATGTGGAGGCCTGATGCTGCTTAGTCTGCAGAAAAACTCTCATTGACTGTATCAAGTATGACAGAACTATGTATTATTATCGATTGATGTAATTAATTTTTAGTTTTAAGACTTTACAGTTGTGAAACGCCTTTGATGTCCGGCGATGCCGCCGTCCGCGTATGTATTTATGTATGCTAGGGATTGTCACGAAGTCGGAAATAAAATGATTTTAAATATTATAATACTCGTTATCATTTATTAACATTATGTAAATACTTATAAGTAAAAAAACGTTTATTGAACAAGGTCATTTTTATTACTACAAGAAAAAAAAACATTTATATGTGTATGTTTTTCAGTTTTTGTTTGTTAAATTTAATTATGTAATGTATTCGCATTCGGATAAACAATTTTATCAATAAAAAAATGAGGGGAAACATAAGCATGGCCATTATTTGAATTCAATTTTACTTAGTAAATCATAACTATAGTAGAAATTCACCATTAAAGATATTATATTTTTTAAAAATTCCATTTAAAATTAGTTAAATAAGTACTATAAAACACGCTTGTGTCAATCGCATATCGTCGTCTATCAGACTCAGTGAAGTGCGATAGCATAAGTTCGGCCCCCTGCCTCGCAGTACCCCCACCATTGCTTTGCAAAAGTACATATGTTTCCCAACTGTAAGGTCATTAAACTGGGTTAATACAGAGTTATATTGGATTTTATTTCGGAGTTTTAATTGCAGCGTTACAATTGTAAATACTTGTGAGTTTACCTAATAAGATAAAATAAAAAAAAAAAACATTCGCAGGACCTGGTGGGTGCGGCAAGCGTATGTGTGTCCCTGGCGACGGCGCTCGCAGGCGCCGGGTCGGGCGGCGCGGCGGGCGGCGCGGGCGGCGCGGCGGGGGCGGGGCTGGCGGGCGCGTACGCGCTGCTGCTGCCCGCGTACCTGGCGCACGCCGCCAAGTGCCGCGCCGACCTGCACCAGCAGCTCGCCGCGCTGCAGCGCATCCTCGCCGACACCGCCGTGCCGCAGGAGGACTACCGAGACGACTGTACGTCTCCTTTTGAGCGTTGCCCGTTCAACCGATCAGTACACCGACCTTTTAGTCAAAACAGAGATGACTACTCAATTTACTGTACTTAGTGGTAAGCTGCTGCTGCAAATGGACTCCCGAAGCAACCCACCATTAGCCAACTTCAAACAAAGAAGGCGACAGACGCATTGTTACCTCTGAAGAGTATGATGTAATGTCTCACAGCAGCTATATATCTTTCAGACGGGAACACAGCAATGCAAGCATTACTATTTGGCGGTTGGAGTAGGTACATAAGAGCTACCGGCCTAGACGGACTGTAGGCAGGGAAGGAGTCCTATTCTCCTGTCCTCGATACTTTTTTACATAAATAATATTTATGGGAAAAATAGGAAAAGGCAAACCCTCTCTTTAATAGAAGATGTCCAAATTCCGCAATGGCTTTTATGGACTGCTGAAGAGAAGAAGATGGACAAAACCCAGTCCCGGAACAATTATTTGTACGTTATAACAATACTTGACCCGGGCGGCGGTAACCGCGACCTGCAACGCCACGTAAACAGTCAATCTTATACTAAACTATGATCTGGATATCAAATAGAGACAAAATATGTCAATAAAAGACCGGAAAAATACAACAAAATTTTGGTCATAAACTCTTGTAACTTCTATGCCTAGAAAATTGCAACACTGTGGACGACATGAACGACAAGTTCGTAGAAACTGTACATGCGCTCGGAACTAAGTTCTGCAAGACTCGTAGAAGAACCCAAAAAGTCTTCAATCACACTCTTCTGGCTGTTAGAAGAAAAATGAAGCTACAGTTTTTAGCACATATGACAGGATACATGCAACTGAACAGACATTTGCAAATGCATGTGGCGATACTCACGCAACCTGAATACAGCTCGTAATATATATATATATATATATATATATATATATATATATATATATATATATATATATATATATATATATATATATATATATAGAGGAAACCAAGGCTCCCAGTCTTTGCTAGAGATCTTTCTGTCAAAATGGAAAGGAGTCAACTGTCGAAGTTGTATACCAACAGTGGTAGTGTTATTTCTGGTACACCTGAGATTTTGAGTGAGATTGACAGCTGTATGTCGCAGTCACTTGGAGCCCCCTACGTTCAGGCTCCACGTCTAGGTCATCAGTCATGTTCTCATTCACAACACGTCCTAAGTACACAAAATGAGAGCTCAAGAGCAAGTCTCATCCATCAGTCTGAGCGAGATTAAAATGGCTCCCCAACACCCAAAAAAGACACAGCCTGAGGCGCGTTAGGAAATATGAGTAGATTTCTGAAAGCAACTGAAAAACCGGTACTTTAAGCTCTTGAATTCCGTTCTCAATGGTAACACTTCGCTGAAGGCGTGGATCAGAAGCACCGTGGCTTTGTTCTTCAAGAAAGGCGACAACGCTCTATTGTAGTACAACAAACCACTTTCACTTCTGAGCCGAGTCTAGTTGATGTTTTCGAAAGTCAATGAAACGTCTCGCGAGCAGATTTGGCGACATACAGCCTCTCGAACAAGTTAATTTTCGAAAATACTTTAATACCGTAAACCACATACATACCCTTCGACAAGTTTTACAGAAGCTACATGGAAGTCCTGAAGTGTTTTCAAACTTAAAGTTCTAGATTTAAAAGGATACGGTATTAATATCACTTGCCAGTTTACCACTTACTTTCGATTTGTCGACGGTTCCTGTACTCAGCTTAGTGCTGAGCTCAATGAATTATATTGTATGTACATTGATAAGACAAAAGGCACGTGTAACATTCATGTTCTTTTTTATAGAATAAGGGTGACAAACGATCACACAGTCCACCTGATGGTAAGTAGTTGCTGGGGCCCATAGACATCTACATCTATCTTCGTTTGCGAATTAAAATGCAGATGCGTTGTCAGCCGTGAGGACTAAGATAGAATGCCTCTTTTCCAGTAAAACGGGTCCCCAGTTCTCTACCACTCACCATACGAAACACAGCAGCATTAAGCTGCTATTTTACGCTGGTATTCTGTGAGAGCGTGGTCCTTCCCCGCCGAGCCGACCCATTCGTGCTACAACTATATTATTACCATAGCTGCAGCATGGCTCTACCACGTAAAAAATTCATATCTTAAATATATAAAAAAGTCATGTCACACCTATGCCGGGAGTTGTTGACGAGTAAGTTTATCTAGGACAAATAGCTCGACTAGGTAAGTCCGACTAAGAGGTCAATCGACGGATTCGGCTGGATGGCGTTTAGGAGATAACAACACATTTACTTCTCACGTATTCATCAATACTTGAAAAAGTGTACAACTGTACCAGTAAGTGACGTGTAAGACGGCTCTCCATTAGATGGACTAGAAAGCCTGTTATGCACTGGGCTTATGAAGGGTTGTAAGGATGGTAGTGACGATAATGATGATTTTTGTATGCTTAATTAGCGACCAAATACAATTAATTAGATCAAATTCTACTTTATTACATTAAATTTTACTTTAATCGAAAATTAAACGTTCTTTGCGTTATTTTTGAACAAAAATTTTTTTTTGTTACAGGCCCGATCCCTGCAGACTGGCAAAGGAATGGCAAAATAGAGTTCGAAAACGTGACAGTTCAGCATCATCCTGACGCTCCACCCATACTTAAAAATATAAACTTGACAGTAAATCCCGGTGAAAAGGTAATAAGATTTATTTGTAGTGATTAACGTACATACTACTTATAAAAGTCGTCACATACACACATACACTAATGCACACGCACGCACACGCATTCACGCACGAACGCATATATGCATACCTTGTACGCACACACAAATGTACACATACACACATCCACGTATGAGCATTCACACGCACATTTACATGAGCACGCATTGCCACAAAGCTTGTAATTATACCAGATCTTTGTCCCTTCAGACCAGTAAATAGCAATATATGCACTGCTGGGTGGCGGTAGATATATAAAGTGGTATCTACCCACACAGACTCCTAGGCAGAAAAGAAGTTCCACCAGCTAGGCACTCCCAATACTTTGTTATAGAACCTCCCTTTGTTTGGAAGTCAGTTAAAATGTGTGGTGTGCAGCTGGCGATATGCGGGCGCAGCGGCAGTGGCAAGTCGACGCTGGTGCTGGCGTGCGCGGGCGCGGCGGCGGCGCGCGTGGCGGGCGGCGGGCGCGTGCTGCTGGACGGCGCGGACGCGGCGCGCGTGCCGCTGCGCGCGCTGCGCCGCCGCCTGCTCGTGCTGCCGCAGGAGGCCGCGCTTTTCGCCGGCACGCTGCGCGAGAACCTCGATCCGCTCGCCGTGCACACCGACCACGACATCTGGCGCTGCCTCAAGGCCGTCGGCCTGCACGACTTCGTCTCGGCGCAGCCCGCGGGCTTAGGTGAGCTGCCCCTTATGGACTTGTACACTCTCGCACGAGTGCTCTCGTTAGGTCTCGCTTGAGAAGCCGGGGACGAGAGGCTTATGACCAAATACAACCATGTTCACTCTCAATTAAATCAGTTGTGAATGTCTGTAAATAACTATATACATATCTGATTAGACGATAATGACACGCGGAAATCGAACATGCTAAGTAATTTTTAGTACACGGTCGCAGATAACGAGCGAGACTGAGAGAACGAAAGTAAATAGACACTCGCAATCGTTGCGAAACCAGACTCGCGCGCAAAACTCGACTCAGAACAAAGTTTCCATCTACACTTTTCCGCATGTCCTACGTCTCTCCAAGTATACAGCCAAGAACGAGTTACAATCAAAAAAAGAAGAGTTAAATCGCGCCTCCGTCTCGTTCAACTTGCGAGAGAATGAGATAGAATACAGTATACAGTGTTTAATATTATTTCGGTTTCCTTTTCTGACGATTTTACTTTTACCACGTGTGCACACATGTTTTGTTTTTTTTTTTTTATATAAATAGGGCTGTTTTTATAAATATTCCAGTAATCGAGTCGTATAGTGGTCAGAGTGGGTATTATATTCAAATGAAACCGGAATAAACATTAGTGTAAATACACATATTGTCGATTTCTAGTTCGCAAGCAATTCAGTTTAGCCGATATTACTAAAATGAACTACAAGTACTTTATGATTTATTTTTCAATAGCTTAAAGGTTAAGAATAACAATCCACAGGACATTACTAGGTTCTAGACCTTTATGCAGCCAAGTAGCAGTCATGTCTCATTTTAAAGGGCTAAAGTCCTAGTGTTCCAATGCCAATCTTCAAACCGGCATCTTAATTTGGAAGTGGCAAAACAACATACCAGAAGCGTTCTTGTAGTTATGATCTAAAGGTACCTACGAGCTACAGAGGCCACCCCTACAATACGATGCGAACCCGTGTAATAAATTGGCGGAATTTATCGGAAGTGATATATTCAACATAGACCTCCCCCACAAATTGTTTTTTTTGGGTTATTCCGTTCATCCACCCTACGGTGGATACTCTGAAACGCGTGTTCATCTATCCACCCGACGGGGTGGATAATCGGAATTCACTTTTATTTGTTCTTCCGATTTTTCACCTCAAATACAGTTCAACTCATATACTTTATTTGTCTACTGACTTCAAAAAGGAGGAAGTATTCAATTTAATTCGACTGTTTGTTCTTTTTTTATGTGTGTTACGTCGTAACTTTTTTTCTGGCTGAACCGATTTCGATGATACGAAAGCTGGTGCTTCTCATGTGGTCAAGGTCTGTCCAAATAGTTTTTGAGTTATCCTTAAATTTATATTAAAGTCGGTTGTACATAATTTTTAATTTTACCACTTGTTAATTTTTAATAACCACAAACTCAGATAAACAAACGTTATATTACGTACTAGCTTCTGCCCGCGACTTCGTACGCGGATCCTGTTGCTTATGCCAGCGACAACGGGGTCGTCAAAATCGAAGATCTGAAACGTCTGATGTTGAATTCTAAGAGCCCGGGGACGGGAAAACAACGTGATTCGCGAGACAATTCGAGACGTTCTAGATCTTTCAGTTTTGTAAGTCAACAGGAAATGCCCATCAGACTAAACAACTTTTGCTAAGACGTCATTTCTATATATGTTATAGTGTCGCTGGGCTTTGGATGGAGTGTAACTCCTTGTGTGTTATTAAGTTAATATATTGGTAATATTGTTTAGATCACGTTCACATGAGGCTTAAGTACTTATAGAACAAAAATACTTCAGCGCAAAGCTTCCGGGTAAACTATGTTGAAAGTTGACCCGTCCGGCACGTGAACATAAAGATTTCTAGAACTAACACCGAGATCTACTCCAGCAACACGAAAATTCTGCCCTTGAGCCTTATTAATTGTCATTGCATAACACAATGATACTGGGAATTGCGTTCTTTTAAATTGGAATGGAAAATTATTTGGTATTATGGGAATTCTGGGAATAAAGACGGTTTCTCCTGCACCGCAACCTGTTAAAATTTGAGCCTCGATTATATTTTGTTGCAACTGGGTTACTTTTAGCCGAGTTCCATTGCAAAGTTGTGGTGGTCTTAAATTTCGGAGCAGAATAATCGGAATGCCAATTTTTAAACAAATTTCATGAGGAGGAAGTCCGGACATATTTAAAGAATTTAAAATTTCTATCGGGTAATTAGTGGCTTCTTGTTCATCGACCATTCTATTTATTGAACTATAAACTTTGCTTTCCCCCTGTATATTCGACAGTATTTTGTTATTAATCTCAGATGCCTGGTCATTGCGAGGAGTTAAAATGGATCTTTCGCATAGCCAAAAATTGTCCCTATTTAATATAGTTGTTACGTCACCGTAAACCGACGATATAAGATGTGGTTGGGATTGCACTATACAACATAACGCAGGCGTCAGAATAAGTTTTCCTTGGTGTAGTTGTGGATAGGTACCTTCCCCAATCTTTAATAATTTATCAGAAAATTGACGATCATCCGGGTTATCTCCAGTTCTCACTCGCATGTTTATAGTCAAATGTACCGATTGCGCGCCGTGTCGAGCGCGGCGACCGTTACACAAAAATAATCCTTATAGCATGATTCAGTATTCATGCGCGATGGCTTATTAGCGTATTTCATGTATAACTTTGGTGTTTCTATACCGATTTCTATGATTCTTTTTTATTGAATAGATAATAATGTTAACTTTTTTAATTAGGGATGAGTGACAGTGTTATAAACGTAAGAGTACACAAATATAATCAGAAAGCTCCGAACTGCTAAGCTATCTATAGTTACATATGTTGCTATAGTTACACGTGTTATTGTGAGTCAACCATAAAAGATAGACATATGCTGTTGTGGGATATTTTTATATAATTTTAAGGAGAACATTTCCGTTATACATGATTTCTGTGTAGCTTTAACCATTAATGCTGCACACGCGACGGAAGCTTAAAAAATGGAGTAATTTCTCCCGTTTCCCCAACATTTACCTTCACTGTTCTGCTCCTATTGATCGTAGCGTGATGAAAAGTATACTATAACCTGCCCAGGAGTATGAAGAATGATTGTACCAAGTTTCGTTAAAATCCGTCGAGTTTTTGTTTCTATAACGAACATACAGACAGACAGACAGACAGACAAAAAAGTTACTGTTTGCATTTTTGGCATCAGTATCGATCACTAATCACCTCCTGATAGTTATTTTGGAAATATATTTCATGTACAGAATTGACCTCTCTACAGATTCATTATAAGTATAGATATAGATTGCCGTTACCGTTACCGTTACAGCCTATTAAAATCCATGCATTACGTATTGCATTTAAATCACATTAAACTTCGTTTTAAATAATATTACGTAATTTATAAATACTGCAATAGGTTCAGGAAAGGGACTTAGGCCCGTATTAATAAACGTTACTCAGCTCAAGTACACGCAATTAAGTACAATATTGAGTTTATGATCCTATCTAATAAACATATCTCAAGATGCGGTTTTGGTTTACGATATCAGCTGAGGGCCACATTGATTAATAAACGAAACTCTACTCTCAAGTGTGTGTACTTGAGTGCAAGTCACAGAACAGTAGTATTCCTAAGTACAGTGATTTGAGATACTGTTTTTATGTGTTTATTAATTAGCAACGACCTTGGGATGTTGATATCGTAATGAGGTCGTATCAATTGATTACGCACTTGAGTTCGTTGTTGACTAACGTTTATTAACCCATTTGGACCCAATTACAAACTACAAGCAAAATTTTGACAAAAAACTTTATTGACGTAACTATTGGAGGCTAGTTAGGTATTTTATTACAAAAAAGAAAACTTCCATAAGAATAAAAAAAACACCGTCGTCGAATGGGGCCATTGGGTTATGTGTCGTGTTTTTCAAAACTTCCTTTTTTGCTGCACAATGTTTCGATTTATTTCCTACATAGCCAATATGCTTTCATGTGACATTCCATGCATAGTAGCTGGCTTGGGAGTTTCTGGGGGAAGTGCCCAACGCCATCAAGACCCATACTAAGCACCACTGAAGAAGGTTTACGACATCTTTCATTGAGTCTTTCAGTGCCTACAGTCCTCAAATAGAAAGAGGCTATTGGCGAAGTATTCTTCGGCGAAACTGGAGCTAGTCAAGTTTGTGTTCAGTGGTCAGGACCTGGATACGATAAGCATTACTTACAGCCAAATTGAGCAGTAGGTGAACAGAATCCACCGCCATTTCTTGCCTCTTATAGCTCTTCAGTATATTGCGATTGACTGGTCAGCTTGATCAACTCAGCTTTCTTGACATTGTATTTGAAACAATGGTAACATTGCAGTCTTCATCTAGAGGCCAATACTATCTCAGTCCTCATGGCATTGCGTGATATCCAGTCAAAAATAGAAATCCAAAACATAATTTGAGGTCATCAACCGTAATTTGGAAGTCATGGTGTTGTGTTGTGCGACATAATATAACTTAGTGTACATAACGGTCATGTAAAAAACCTCCACAACATACATATTTTTGAAAATGTTGACTGGTGTTGGTGCTTGAGCTCGTTTACATCGTTTTCCCTTCGATTCTGAACATAATTTACCATTGAGGGCATGTCAACATATAAACCATCACACTTACGGCAACGTGATTTCGCGTATCCCATTTATCGTTGTTCCTGGATTGAAACACTTCATCTCAATCTGGAATATCACGCGGAAGAATTTTTGCTGGACTAAATTTTTATCTTATCTTTATCACCTTTTTCTTCACCCGTGAGAACACTGGGGTCTGGAGGAATGGCCGCTATATCGTATAACTAACATCAGTATCATCCTTTTCATTCAAAATGTTTTCAATGGCTTTCTCGAGTCCTCTATAATCATTTATAACATCAAACCTCGTATTACTTAGTTATTGTTCATGCCGAAACTAAATTTGCGATAACAAACAAAAATATATTATCAATCAGCCCATTAGACCTATTCTTGGACACCATATTAAAATATCTTAATTTATGGTCAAATCTCGAAAAATATCTGATATAGTAGCATTATTTAGTAGTAAAAACTATGGCCAAGTGAAATTACAAAAAAAAATATATAAAATACCAATGTAAATATAAAAAATAATAACTTACCTTTGGGCAAACACCCAATTTGGCAATGAAGTAAATAAAAGCACTAACTTCTTTCACTTTACCCAATAAATCACAAAACTATAACTTGTATTACAAAACCACACTCTTTGGTACTATAATTTCGCCTATAAACAAAAGCTAGCTATAATAAGTTAAAAAATGTGGGTACTTAGAAAAGTGGCCCAAATGGGGACAGCGGGTGTAAATGGGTTAATACGGGCCTTAGTTTTTTAAACAAATTGGTGATATATTAAAGGTGGGTCAAATTCCTTATAACGATGAGTTTGCACATGTATGTAGTCCGTAGTCTCTGCCTATAATAATAATAATAATCTTTATTTGCGTAAAACATGGTATAGATGTTGTTCACAGGTAAAAATCGAGCGCTCATGTTTTGCTTATTTTACATAGCATGTAAATATTTTTGAACAATGTCAAATTTTCTTTAACTATTTGAAATACATTAGTCACCTGATTTAGTTAACAAAGAGAAATAATATTATAATAATTAATTACATGTCAATTTCAATACCTAGTAATAGTCGCATAGCTTAATCAAAGATATATTGTAACAATACTATATTTTATATTTATTACAATAATTAAATGAACTTTTTTTAATAAATATTATCCAGTACATAATCTAATTTTTTTCCAAGAATTGTTTTACACTATAGAAATTATTTTCATTCAGCCATTTGTACAATTTTTTTTGAACAATGTAATATTTAGGGTTTTAAGTTCGTCAAAGAGTTTGTTATATATTCGGACACACATGGTAAGGCAACTTTTGCCATATTTTTGTGATTTAGGTATATCCTTAAGTACTAGCTTGTGTGGGTCCCTACGTGAGCGAGTAATCTGTACCTCACAAGCTTTTTCAAATAATGGTTTGTGTCTCTGCACAAAAACACAAACTTCTAAAATAGATATCGTCCAAGACCTTTAAATAGGCTGATAAGGCTGACACGATTCATTGGGTGGTACTCCGCAGATTGCCCTAATGCGCTTTTTCTGCGCAATAAAAGTCCGATTCCAATCCGAACTATTTCCCCACATCACCAGTCCATAACGGAGTATAGACTCGGCATATGCTCGGTAAGTCATAACAGATGTTTTTATGTCAGTCACTTTTTTATTTGGTTGAGCGCGTAAGAACATTTGTTTACTTTCTTACAAACTTTGTCGTTATGTGCTTTCCAGTTCAGATTCTGGTCTATGACAATATCTAAAAATTTTGTTTTTTCTATTTGATTGATTTTTATAATGTTAAGCTTGAAATTGTATTGCTTATGTTTTGACTTATTAAACTGAATAAAATTTGATTTTGCCAAGTTAATTTTTAAATTGTGAGCTTGTAGCCATTCAATTATATTATCAATTGTATTATTTATGTTCAATTCGTGATTATATATTGAATTTTTATTTTTTTTAGTCCTAACTATAACCGAAATGTCATCAGGGTATGTGATACATTCATGACTTGTTGCATCAGATATGTCATTAATATATAATATAAACAATATGGACCCTAAGATACTGCCTTGTGGAACCCCATTAATATTTTCAAGGCAGTTGGATTTATATGTTCTTAGTTCTCTGCATAATAAGCGTGCGATTTTATGTTATATGTTATTAAGAATATATCCAATAATATGATGACGCAAAATGAAGCTAATATGTGTAATGTTTATGCAGAATGCAGCGTGGGCGGTGGTGAGGCGCGGTGGTGGGGCGGCGGGCGCGCGGCGCGCGTGTGCGCCGGCCGCGCCGCGCTGCACGCGCGCCGCGCGCACGCGCTGCTGCTGGACGAGCCGGGCGCCGCGCTCGACGCGCCCGCCGAGCGCGACCTGCTCGCCGCGCTCGCCGACCTCGCCCCCAACACCACCATCATCACCGTCGCGGTAATTATCCCACATTCAACTAACATGTACTACTTACTAGAAGAGACACCGGGACGTAGCCAATCTGATACTGTGCCTATTTCCACGCGCCCCGCACTGCCGCACAGATTTTGTTCGCGGTGTTTGTTCTAGTTATGTTGTACACATAGAATTAGTAACAAAGTTTTGACGTGAATACGTCTTTAAATTTGCTTCCATAGTGGGAGGCAATTCAAAAAACTTATAATAACAAAATCGGAGGATACAGTACGGCTACATAGTGTGACAAATGAGTGCACAGTTCATCTGATGGTAAGTGGATGCTGTGGCCATAGACATCTACATTTATCCTCAATTAAGAATGCCTCGTTTCCAGTAAAAAGGGTCTCCGTTTCTCTACACTCACCATACGAAACACAAAAGCATTAGGCTGCCATTTTACGCTGGTATTCTGTGAGAGCGTGGTCCTAGTCCTACCCCGGACGAGCCGACACATTCGTGCTGCAACCACAATATAACTCCGGCATGGATCTACCACATAAATCTACGTCCAAAATTTAATTGCACCACTAGATAGCTAAAGGATCAAATAATTCGTTACGTTGAGTGAGGACTGAGACGCATTGCGACCGTTGAAAGTGGAGCGTCGCCATTTTATTTGTTTCGTTACGTACACGTATTCACATAAAACCTTATAAAACACACGGCCACAACCTCTACGACACAGCCATACCCCGATTTTTTTCTTTGTAATGAACTCGCACAGTTGTACTTTTGCTTTTGACAGTGTCAAGTAAAAATAAATTATCCTTTTTAATAGTTTCTTTAAAAACTTCTTCACAACATGTTGATGCATCACATTGCGAAGTTTTTGGGAAGTTTTAACGACAACTTGAGCCAGCAGACAGTCGATGACGACGGTAATTCGAGGCGCCTAAGCAAACACATTATCTTGAGATTCAGGTCACATCACCATCGGAATACTTGCTTCATCGTTTCCACTAATAATTCACATGTGCTGACATTTAGAACATAAAATCGCACCACTTTTAATCATTATTTTTATACAATAAAACAAAAGCAGCAATCCGCCAGCGGTCTAGTTCCTGCTAAAACTAACTCCCCCACATGATAATTACATATAATTTTTCTACTTGTTACAGCCGCTATATATTGTGGTTGCAGCATGAATAAGTTTTTTTTTATAGGATCGGGTGACAAACGAGCACACAGTCCACCTGATGGTAAGTGGTTACTATGACCCATAGACATCTACATCTATCCTCAATAAAGACTCAAGATGCAGATGCGTTGTCACCCGTGAGGACTAAGATAGAATGCCTCTTTGCCAGTAAAAAGGGTCTCCGGTTCTCTACACTCACCATACGAAACACAGCAGCGTTAAGCTGCTATTTTACGCTGGTTTTCTGTGAGAGCGTGGTCCTTCCCCGTTCGAGCCGACCCATTCGTGCTACAACCATAATATAACTGCAGCATGGCTCTACCACGTAGAAAATCCATTCTAACGGGGAAGAACCACGCTCTCGACGAATACCAGCGTGACATAGCAGCTTATTTCAGCTGTGTTTTTTGATTGAAGATTGTAGAGAACCGGACTTTTTCTCTGGAAACGAGGCATCCCATCTAAGTCCTCAGAGCGCTGACCACAACTAATGAGCTCCGACGTTAGCCACGCCCACTAATTCTACCATTACTTGAACTATGTTTATACTTATTAAATCCTATACTGTATTGAGCTTTAGGAAAAAAAATGCACGTCTTCAAACAACAATAAAATATTAAATGAAAGTAATTTTACAGATTTTATCGCGTTCAATTTTAACTTTTTAATTCCCAACGTTTCTGGTGCTTCGGGGTAACTGGGGTGTTGAAGTCGCGATGTCATAGTTAGACCGGCTATAGGTATAGATCGGGGAAAAAGTTTCGTATTCTATATACAAACACAATTTTTTTTTAAAGTTTAATTTCATTTAATTATAATAGATGTGTGCCATTTTGTACGATAATTTGTTGCCATCTTGTAGGTAGTGACATAATCCAGTTGATGTAAAAATCTTGGGATTATTGATCAGAAAAAGCGACATGTAGTCGTCTCTTGATGTTAATCTAACACTAGCCAAAGAATTCTGAAGAGACCGAAACAGGTGAACATCTGAGGATGCAAGGTCAGGATTTTCTGCATTAACACTTTCTAACCCAGCTCTCCCAATTTTTTGCTGAGTGGCCAAAGATGTGTGTGTGGTCTGGCGTTATTATGATGAAAAACCACTCATTTTCTTGTGATCAATTCCGACCGTTTTTTCTCAATTTCTTGCTTGAGTCTCATTAGTAGTTGGCAGTAGAGATACGATCCGATGGTTTTGCCCGGCACAATTGAACGTGATAAAATCCGTAAAATAAGTTTAATTTAACGTTAAGTATTCGTGTGAATTTAAGAAATCATCTCTAAAATATAAAAATCAACTGCCGTCCGTTAGTCTCGCTAAAACTTGAAAGTGGCTCGAACGATTTTGATAAATTTTTCGTGTGCGTTTGAGTGGATGGTTGAAATCATAATTAGACCCGGTAGGTGGCGTTGTTGCCGAGATCCATAAATCTCCCGTGGAAAGCCGGGGCGGATTGCTAGTTAACAATAAAATAATGAACGAATAGCGGAGCAAAGCGACATAGCAGCGCGTCTATGCGATCACTGTCGGAATGCATAGAAAACAAAAAGAAGCACGATAACAAGACCAGAGCGAACGAGAATGTGTAAGGTTCACACAAGCACGGGGTTCACCCTGCAGTGGCAGGCAAATAAAATGCCCTCCCGGTAGATAGTAATAGTGTTCTTCTATGCCCGCGTCGACAATACTAAAAATATCGCTTGTATGATTTCGGTACTGTCGTTCACTCTGACGATTTATGAGTAGAGTAATCGAAATATTAGGACATAGTACGAATGAACGAAGCATTATATTTTTCCTAACACCTTGGTCCCTAAACTCAACAAGCAAGGTGTAAATTCCGGTATAATGTTTTTTTTTTATAGGATAGGGTGACAAACGAGCACACAGTCCACCTGATGGTAAGTGGTTACTGTGACCCATAGACATCTACATCTATCCTCAATAAAGACTCAAGATGCAGATGCGTTGTCACCCGTGAGGACTAAGATGGAATGCCTCTTTGCCAGTAAAAAGGGTTTCCGGTTCTCTACACTCACCATACGAAACACAGCAGCGTTAAGCTGCTATTTTACGCTGGTTTTCAAATGTGTTTTTTGACATAATATAATAATTTAAAAAATTACTGATATGAAGAGTAAGAGAATGTTTTTTGTCTTGTTACTGCTTCAGAGGTTCTTTTTAATGAAGTTTCTGAAAAATCATTACAATCCAAAATATTTCTTTTCATTAGCATCGAGTGTCAGCAGTGCGTGGGTACGACCGTGCTGCCATACTGGAGGAAGGCCGGATAGTCGAACTGGGCAGTATAAAAAGTCTGTTGGCACAACCCACTTCGAGACTAGCGCGCATGATGGCTGCTCATAATCAAGCACATTAGGGGAATGTCCATTGAAGAACGACATTGACAGCGGGTGCTAATAATAAATAAATGTATATAAATTATTAAACACCATGATCACTCATTGTTAACTGAAAATTAACACCATAGACGAGATAGAATGCTAGTTCTCATATTATATTATTATGTAAATAGATACGTCGTTGGTACCAGGTGCTATTTGAGCTATGGACCAAAGAGAGAGTAAAGAGTAAATATAAACGAATGTAATTAATTAAAAAACACCCGCACCGTCATCACTCAATGTAAACTACAAGTTAATATTATTAACAAGAAAATATGCAAGTTTCGATATTTATACATTATTAATTGTTAACATATCTGTTATTTGCTATAAATGTTTTTGGTGTAAAAAAATATATACACATACGTGTATTATAAATATGGCGATGTATTTTTCAATTTACAAAGGGTCTGTTTTATTGCTGTACCAAAAATATAAGCTACCTTTTTTATTACCTTTTACAAAAAAAAAAAGACTGATATTATTGAGCCATAATCAATAACTTAGCATTTTAAGAGGTAATTACTTAAAATCATAAACTGATATTATTGCATTACCACTGACATCTACAATGTGTATTGTAACGAAGTATTAATAATTTAATCGTTATTTAAATAAAATAATTGAAACAAAGTTGTCGTTGTTTCTAAATTGTATTTCCAGTAGAACAACAATTATAATAACTCATTTAAAGCTCGCGCCGAGCGCATATCTCCATTCGACACGCTACCAGAGTCAACGATACATCATAAAATTATATCACTACATAACAAATTACAACAATATTCACGTTGGCACCGATTTACATAGTTTTTATAAAAACATTTGTGTCAAACAAAACACAAATCATATAAAAATAATTACTTAAAAGTAGTTACATCCGTAAATACACTTACAGTTATTCTAAATTAAATCTCGACATGTTCAATAAATTCTTATTTTCCGCTTACGGACTATATTGGTATTCACATGTTATCGGTCGGGACGGGTGGATGCTTTCGTAATAACCAACCATTAAACAATGCATTAACACATTAATAGACTGCGAATACGAGATCTTTGGCAAAAAGATAACGTGATATATTAATATATGAGTGTCGACTCGTAATAAAATGCTACATAACAAAATATATATTGGATAAAGGCACTTCATAAAGCCGTCATATTCAATGTTCCATCAATATATTTACAATAATTTACACATATTTTATATGCATTTTATAAAATGTTTTCAAGGTAAATTCGTAAAATAGCAGCCGATTTTGGTTGTAAAAATATGTTGTATTTAAAAATTGAGCTAAGTCTAAGGCACGATATGTTCAGCAAAATAATGTTAACTTATCGCTCTACGCATCAAGCTTACGTCATAGTTAAGAGACTTAGTTAGAGATATTTTACATCACAGTGTCAGCTCAAATCTTAACCCTTTAACCCGTCACACTAATTTAACTAACTTGTGCGTTTTTTCTACGATACGTATGTAAACTTTAAAATGCACAAGTTGAGGGCGTGGCGCATTACATTTTATATAGACAAAAAATAATGGAGCCCAACCAACATCGCTTTAAAATGAATTAAACGATAGCGATGCGTTACATCCCCGATTTACTAAAGCAAATTTCCACACGCATTTTGACAAAATGCATATTTCATAAATTATCAAATAAAATCCGTAAGGGCTTTTCATCCATTTCGAAATTATGCAATCGATTAAAATACAAAGGACATGAAGCAAATAACATTACACAGATATATTTTGAAAATGTTATTAAAAGTGAAAGCATGGACGGATTAACGGAATTAAGTAATTTTATTACTTCAATCATATAACATGTAGTTTGTATGCTGCCCACAACAATATTTTAAGGCAATATTATTTGAAATTGTAATTCATAGCCCTGACGGATTTACAACAAATCTTTATTTTATACAATATTATAGAAATGGAACACATAATAATTTTGAGAGCAAATAAATAGGGCGAAAAATAGGGCTTGAAAATCGTGTGTTTTGTACATGACATGTGTGTTGAGATACTAATCTCAACATTTCTTTATGAGGTATTTGTACAAGACACAGACTTGCAATAGAACAATTCAACTGAAAGTGTGATTGAAACTTTTGTAATATTAATACATGATAGTTTAACATTTTACCAATATTAATGCGTTACACTTCAATTCACACTTCCCTGCTAAACAGCCGAATGATTTAAAAAATATATAATAACTGTTTACAGAAATTGGAATTACTGAAAAGATAAAAAACGCAAAGGGACGAGTTAGATTAGTGTAACAGAACTCTTCCACCTCAAACCTGTCATGATATCCGGATAACGCAGGGTTATCATGTTTGCTGATTTATCGTAAGCAAGAATTTATCCTCGTTACTATTTGCTATTAATAATAGAACACATAATTCTGTGTGGAGAGTTGTCAAGTGTGTAATAACAGTGTAGAGATCTACAGCACATCCAATGCAATTACTGTGAAGTGAAATAATGAGCAACGAATTTAAGTACAAAGTAAAATATTTTACAGTCGGCGGGATAGACAATGAATAAAACAAAGGAGAAACGTGTGATGTTTTTGCAATTTATAACTCCAACCTTCAAGTAATATTGAGTGCAGCTATATGTCTACCTAAATACACGAGGTTTTAACTTTATAAAATTTCACTGCCTTCATACCAATTACAGCTGCATATATCCATTTACTAAGTTGAGAACAATTTAATAAAAAAATGTTAAGAGTGAATATTTTTAATAATATTTTATAGCATTCTTGCTTTCAGATAAAAACTACCTCGCTATAGTTCTCTACCCTGTTGAGGTCACTTTATAGAAGCAAGAAATTAAGCAAAATATGCTCTTTTAATGTATAATATGTTTAAATAAAGACAGCTAATAATTATGCGTTTAAAGGTAAGTTACATCCCAAAAATGATATGTATACAAACTCGATTTTTCAGGCCCATAATAATTTACAAACGCGTACGTTAGGAGACCTTGGCCTAAGGATACGTACTATGAACGCCTTTCGTCTGCGGCGCATGTTGTAAAGGGGGGCATTGTCCACAGCGATGCGCCTGTGTTGTGTAAGGGTGTGTGCATGTGTGTGCATGTGTGTGCATGTGGGTGCGTGTGGGTGCGTGCGTGTGCGTGTGCGTGCGCTAGGTGGGCTCGGGCTTGACGCCGGCGCCGGCGGCGGCCGCGGCGCGCGCCTCGTCCGCCAGCCGCTCCGGACTCGTCAGGATGTCCGTCGTCGTGCACAGCACTCGCAACGAATTCAGCACCGCTGCCGGATACCACAATACTGGTTACTATACCGTGGTGGTGACGACAAAATCATCTTTTCTTTTTTATAGGATCGAGTGACAAACGAGCACACAGTCCTCCTGATGGTAAGTGGATGCTGTGGCCCATGGATATCTACATTTATCTTCGTTTGCGAATCAAAACGCAGATGCGTTATCACTCGTGAGGACTAAGATGGAATGCCTCTTTTCCAGTAAAAAGGGTCTCCGGTTCTCTACACTCATCATACGAAACACAGCAGTGTTAAACTGCTATTTGACGCTGGTATTCTGTGAGAGCGTGGTCCTTTCCCGGTCGAGCCGACCCATTCGTGCTACAACTATACTACTAATATAGCTGCAGCGTGGCTCTACCACGTAAAATACATCGACATATTTCATCGCTTAGGCATCGCAAGGCGCGTATTAATGTAATGCTTGGAAGATCTTTTGGCTGCCGCCGAACGACCTTGTGTTTTTTTTATTTCATAGAAGTAAAAGTGATGATCGACAGTGTAGTGGCGGAGTAAGAATATCCACTAATCCATATTGTACCGTGAGTGTCGTAAAATTCTACAGAGGCATACAAACCAGAAGATGAGCGGCAGCGTCTTCCTAATAAAAACTAAACCAAACGTGACAAAATATATTCAATTAACAATAATACTACACTTATAAGTAAATACACGGGGAGGCCTATTTTAAACAATGGACTATGATGAGCTGTAATAATGACGATGAAGAGTTATAAACGAGCACACAATGGTTAAGAAACAAAATACAGATGCGTTGCCATTTCTGAGGACGATGTTAGTATGGCTCGTTACCGGAGAAAAGGGTTTTCTCGTTAATGAAGATAGAACTCACTTTAGAAAACACTGATGCATTGTCAATAGTATGTGTATTCTATGCAAGTACTTCTCCGGCCAAGCCGACCTATTCGGATGCTAAATATGCAATAACGTGGCTCTACGTAATAGATACATATAATAGCGGTGTAACCCATCTTAAACCAGATGTAAATTACCCAGACCGGCGAAGAACAAAAGCGGCAGATGCGCTGTTCATTCGCACTACGTCACTAGGTTGCTACCATCGATCTGTAATTCTTCACTCGATAGATACTTGTGGTAAATATTTCAAAAAATAAAATAAAAAGAATTAATGAAAATGTAAACGCTCACCGTATATTTCATTACACACAAACAACTTGCCGATAGGAATGAAATTGTTAATTGAATTTTAAATGCCGATTTACCATGTGCTCGGCGATTTTATCTTTTTTAAAACGTTACCCCCACAGTAGGATTTTCTCCTGTGTCGTGGAGGCAGTTTACAAACATAAATTCCACAAGTACAAACATCCAGACCCGGAACAATTATTTGTAGGCCATACAAATAGTTGTTCCGTGCGGGATTCGAACCCGCGGCCCCCAGCGCAACAACTGATTGCTAAACCACTGCGCCACGGAGCCGTCAAATAAAGATTAAAGGAAACATTATGATAATCTACATGTATTAGAAATAAAATATTTCAAGGACAAGGACATAATCCTCTAAGAAATTAGAGCAAATATGCCCAGCGATGGTATGTATATAGGCTATAACTTGAATAAAAAATTACAAAGATATCTAAAACACTGAAGATCGACGTACGTATCCATTATATAACCGAGAGCGA